GACTGTTGTCGCTTGTCTGTATCCGACTGTTGTCGCTTGTCTGTTTCTGACTGTTGTCGCTTGTCTTCCTGCAGAGGCTCAGTGCTCTCCGATGCTCCTCTCCACGTTCAGCCACTTCTCTTTCTTCCACATGGCCGCCAACATGTACGTCCTCTGGAGCTTCTCCTCCAGCGCCGTCTCCATGCTGGGCAGAGAGCAGTTCATGGCCGTCTACCTGTCTGCAGGTGCTGCGCCACAAAACACCTGTCTATCTGGCCCACAGTTTGTTTCTCATACAGGATACTAGACAAGTTAATTGATGTTTACACTGATTTGATTGTCCTTTTTTTTTTTTTCAGGTGTTGTTTCTTCATTTTTCAGTTATGTGTGTAAAACGGCCACCGGGAGGTTCGGTCCGTCTCTGGGAGCCGTAAGTTACAAGACAAAACTAATCAAAGTTATCAGACTAATCACAAACCATAGATAGTAGTAAAGTAAATGATATTGTTTTATTTGAAAGCATCAAAAGTAGAGAATTACTGTTTTACAGCACAACAGCTGTAGTAGAATAATTGGTAAAATATCTGAATAATGTCCACAAAATTAACACAATAATGTTAATCAAATATTTAAAAAATGTTTTTGAAAATAATCTGCAAATGTTTCGTGATTTTTTTCTTTATTGTTGTGCACCAAAACACCAAGTTAAATTCCTACTTGACAGTGAACCTGGTTCTGATTCTCAAAGCCTGTGTGTTGACTGTGACTTAGAGGACCTAAGTCCTGGCTCTGTGGGGGACCTCAGGGTCCAGGATCCATAAACCCAGCACAGTGTCTGACCTCACCGTCTGTCTGTCTGTCTGTGTGTCTTCAGTCTGGAGCCATCATGGCCGTCCTCGCTGCCGTCTGCACCAAGATGCCAGAAGCTAAACTGGCCATCATCTTCCTCCCCATGTTCACCTTCACTGCTGCCAACGTAAGACTTGCTTCACCTGCTTCACCTGTCTGACAGACACCATTAATCTCATCCTGCCCCCCCCTCCCCCCTCCCCAGGCTCTGAAGGTCATCGTCGCCATGGATACAGCAGGTGTGGTGATGGGATGGAAGTTCTTTGACCACGCTGCTCATTTAGGAGGAGCCTTGTTTGGAATGTGAGTCTTGCTGCTGGTGTTCCAGCTTTTCTGTTGAGTCGGTGCTGTGTGGGGGGTTTGATTTATACCAATGGGAAGAGTGCTTCATGTGGATCCAGATCAAAAGGTTAAAGCAGTCAATGTCTTCCTTCATTCGTCTTATTTCTACTACTCAGATAAATGTGACGTTCTGGGATTGTTGACATTTGAAACATGACTCGTTAAACTTCTCTGGTTTTCCTGCAGACATTTAGTGGACAGACATTTAGAAGAATTATACCAGAAGAAATCAGCATTTTATTAATCGATGATGTCATTGATTTTATTCCCTCATATGTGGATCAAAGGATCGACTGTGTTACAGTAAAAGGAGAAATACCAAACTAACTAAATCACTAAAGTCACATAAACAGTAACCGATGGAGCAGCAGGAGAGCAGCAGCTCCTGAGCTGTGAGAGGTAGAGTCTCTGTTTGATGAATGGAGTCTGGTGTGTTTGTAGAGATCACGGAGAACAGCTTCAGTTCCTCATCATGAAGGTGAAGAGGAGAAAACATTCTACATATAGCGTTCACTTAAACTGATAGACAATCTTTTAAGAGTCTAAAGTACGTCCATCTACTGTAGTCAAACATTTGAGAATGCCTGTTTGTTTCAGTGACACAATAAGAATCTAATGATCAAACTAATGATCTGAAATAACTTCCCATCATGCTCTCTGTTCCCTCGCTCTCCTCCAGCTGGTACATCATGTTCGGTCACGAGTTGATCTGGAAGAACCGAGAACCTTTTGTTAAACTTTGGCACGACCTGAGAACTGGAGGAGGTTCTGGTGGAGGAGGTGCTGACGGAGGAGGAGGAGGCAGCGCCGTGTAGGACGCTGAAACACCGGGGCTGCTGGGAAAAAACAAACATGTATAAAATGTACAGAGGCCGGTTCGCTGCACTATTTGGCTTCCCTAGGACAAGGTATCGGGAAGCAAACACCTGGACGTCAAGTAATGATTCATGTTCATCTTTATAAAAGATAATTTACATTAATGAACGATTCCGATTCTTTTGACAGTTTTTTGTGTTGAAGTTTGTTTATTTAGAGAGAAATATTCTCAGCGGTCCAAGAAGAACAACAATTAATCATGATTCTGCAGAGTTCTATGAGGAATATTACAATAACATGAGGACTGTATCCAGTTCACATTAGGAGTCGCTCTGGTTCTGATTCTGAAGCCAGAAGTTCCAGTAAAGTTAGAGGAACTCAAACGCCTCTTTTAACGTGAGAAAGGATGAAGTGAGTTGTGTTTTCTGCTTATTTATGTTTGTTTTCTTTTGAATAAAACTGTAAAATGATTACTCCGACTGTCTCGAGTTACTGTTTCAAGTTGTTTCGAGTTGCTCCGTCTGTTTCGAGTTGCTCAGACTGCTTTCTTTCCTGCCAGTGCATAGTTCCACCCTCCAGTCCAGTAGGTGTAGTAATGCCAGCCAGCCACTAAATTATCAGGAATTTAGCAACTTCAATTTGCAATCACACAAACTCCAGCATATGAAAGCATTGACAAAACCCACTCACTATTTCTGCAATATAAAAAAGATTTCTGACTAAATAAGCAACAAACTGAATTGATTAATAAACTCTGTGTCCTCTGATCAGATTTGATTGAACCCCAAAACCTTCACTAAGGTTGACAGAAACGCATGACATCACATTCTACAGCTAAGCCCCGCCCACTTCAAAACAGTCAGAGAAGCACAGAAGAAGAAAAATACAGAATATCTCTTGTAATAAACAAAACTGTTTACGTTCAGAGTATTTTTAACTCGTGATTGATTTGTTCAAGCTTTTATTCTGAAGTCTGAGTTAACGTGAAGGAGTTAACGTTGAACAGCTAACTGATCTGGAAACATGAAGTCGGTTTGATAAACGGACGGTTTAAAGTCCACAAAGTGTCAGATCAACAGAAACACGCTGGTTTCTACATGTGGACCTCATGATGAAAGTTATCACTCCTCACGTGTCTGTAAGACGATGGTGAAGAGAGTGAATTTAGAAGAGAACATAAATTACAATAAATACACAACAAATATGTATCAATATGGAAAGTTTAAGTATTTTAGCATCTTAATTTCAGCTCTTTTTAAAGTTAGTTTTCAGTAAAGAGATCAGCAGAGAAACTGTCTGAAATATAAAACATTCAAATCTAAACAGGGCTATGAAATAAAATTAAGTAGAGTGAAGACATTGAAGAATTTATTATTATAAAATTGTCACAATTACTTTTATTTGTATTTTTGTCATGACAGGTACCGAGCAGCAGCGCCCTCTGGTGGACAAACTCAAGTTTAACACTTGTGATATTTCTTCTCCTGGATTAAATATATAGCTGCTTATCAGTGGTTTGTTCAGAAGATGTACATCCAATAAGAACTTTATGTGTTTGTATATATATATATATATATGTATATTTGTATATTTACAGATTCAATACATTAAAGGATCCTAAAGTGAGTTCCTAACAAACAGAGTTGAGGGTAAAACTCTGAGGTTCATGTGTGTCAATAACGTGTGTTCGCTGGTTCATTGAACCCTCATCAGACCTCAGAGGATCAGATCACAGTCAGACCAGGTTCACACTGAGACCACATCACTGAAACTAAACCGGACAAACTGCTGCAGAGAGGAACCAGAACCAGAACAGAGACCCGGAAAAAAAGCTTCACTTCCTCAGACGGTAAGAACTCCACAAATGTGGACGTACTTTTAAAAAGTGTAGATTTGACTCGGTGTGCTTATGATGATTCATTCTCTCACACGCGGCTGTCAAGATGTGAGTCACTGTGTTTAATAATAATAATACATTTTATTTGTATTACTCTTTAAAAGATACTCAAAGGTACTTTACATAGTAAAAACAGAAACAATAGAAGTAACAATACAAACAAAAGAGATGACATAACAGTAAGAACCACCACAAAAACATACATAACTAACTTTACAAACAGTTTAATCGTATTTCCTTTATTTCACAATATTGTTCATAATGATTCATGAAAGCAAAACAAAACGGGGAAACCAGACGCCAACAACTTTCCCCTGACTGACTGAACGTTTGCTGTTTGTTTGTGTTGTTTTTGTGCATAAACGTAACAAAAACCTGTAAAATCAGAAAACACTCTTGTTAATCTGTTTGTGGGTCGTTGTTGAAGACACTCACCTGTTTTAAGGTACGAGGATTCATGTGGTTCATAAATATAACTCTGAAACCCACATTAGCATGTCAACCAAAAACATAGAGGATTCAGAACGGAACCCTGAGGAACCCCACGAGGTGATTATTCACACTAAAAAAGTTCCTGTTGTTCCTCCAGCTGTTATCCAGCTGTGAGCAGCATGGCGGCGGGGTTGCAGGTCGTGGGTCTGCTCCTGGGCGTGGTCTCCTGGTGTCTGCAGTCCAGCTGCACCTCCTCTCAGGTGTGGAAGGTGAGGAGTCAGCAGGAGTCGGTGAGCAGCAGTCAGTGGCAGTTTGAGGGTCTGTGGATGAGCTGTGTCGCCACGTCGCTGGGGTCGATCCAGTGCAGCCGGTTCAAGACGGTGCTGGGACTACCGGGTGAGTCCTGAGCAATAAATCCCATGATGCATCTGTTTTTATTGAGCCGGTCCAGAAACAGAATAAATGTTTAATGGGTTTAGCAGCAGTTTGACTTGAAGTCCTGAACTTATCACTGAAATAGCAATAAAGTTTATGAATGATGATCAATAATGGGTTTTAATGTATTCACACATTTTGTTATTTTTACGCTTTAATTCATGTGAAAGGAGGAAAAATGTCTTCAAATTGACCAAATAACATTAAAACTATCATTAATAATTGTAGAGTTTAATTTAAACCTTTAATGTTATTAGTTGTTTGTTTAACACTTTGAAGCATAAAAAATGTATTAATATATTAATATTATATCACCCTTAAGATTGTCAGAAGATAATCTAACCGTCCCTGATAAATATATAAATAAACAATTTAAAAATTAAAAAATGTAAAAAATGTAAAAATGTAAAAATGTAAAAATGTAAAAATTTTAAGATTTAAAAAATTGATAAAAATTGATAAAAAAAAATTATAAAAATGTATAAAAAGAAGAAGAAAAATTTAACTTATGTTGTGTTTTTACATCCTGCTGCGTCTCCAGCTCACCTGCAGGCCTGCAGGGCTCTGATGATCCTGTCCCTGCTGGTCGGTCTGGCCTCCATCATAGTCTCCGTTCTGGGACTCAAGTGCACCAAGATCGGCAGAACTTCGGAGAAGGTCAAGGACCAGATCGCCCTGAGCGGAGGAGTCCTCTTCATCCTGTCTGGTGGGTGAAGTCATGATGTTATTGTCCACATGTCCTCATGTCTACATGTCCTAATGTCTTCATGTCTTCATGTCCACATGTCCTCATGTTGACATTTCTACATGTCCTCATGTCTACATGTCCTCATGTCTACATATCTTCATGTCTTCATGTCTACATGTCTACATGTCCTCATGTCTGTCTCCTCCTCAGGTGTCTTCACTCTGACTGCAGCGTCCTGGTACGCTGCCCGAGTCATCCAGGAGTTCTACGACCCGTTTTACGGAGGAGTCAGGTCAGCATCATGTCCAATCTGGGATTAGGGTTAATTCATATTTAGTTAATTAATAAATATTTATTTATGAATTACAATTTGCTATTTTTTGTTTGAATTAGAATCACTGAGTAGAATTTAATACTATTTTATCAGGAAAGTCAAAGATGCAGAAAGTTGATGAATTTTACTCGTTGGGATGAGACGTAGAAAAATCAAATTATTGATGAGAATTAAAGTCCCATCCATCCATTTTCCTCCGCTTATCCGGGGTCAGGTCACGGTGGCAGCAGGCCAAGCAGGCTGATCCAGACCTCCCTCTCACCGGCAACATGTTCCAGCTCATTCTGGGGGATCCCGAGGCGTTCCCAGACCAGCTGGGAGATGTAATCTCTCCAGCGTGTTCTGGGTCTTCCCCGGGGTCTCTTCCCAGTTGGACGTGCCTGGAAAACCTCCAGTGGGAGGCGTCCAGGAGGCATCCTAATTAGATGCCCGAACCACCTCAGCTGACTCCTTTCGATGCGAAGGAGTAGCGGCTCGACTCCAAGCTCCCTCCTGATGACCGAGCTCCTTACCCTATCTCTAAGGCTGAGCCCGGCCACCCTACAGAGGAAACTCATTTCGACCCAGAGTTCGCGACCATAGGTGAGGGTAGGAACGTAGACCGAGTGGTAAATTGAGAGCTTTGCCTTCCGGCTCAGCTCCCTCTTCACCAAGACGGTCCGGTGCAGCGCCTGCTTTACTGCTGCAGCCGCACCGATCCGTCTGTCGATCTCCCGCTCCATCTTACCCTCACTCGTGAACAAGACCCCAAGATACTTGAACTCCTTCGCTTGAGGTAGGCACTCCGTCCCCACCTGGAGGGAGCAATCCACCGGTTTCTGGCAGAGAACCATGGCCTCAGATTTGGAGGTGCTAACTCTCATCCCCGCCGCTTCACACTCGGCTGCAAACCGCCCCAGTGAATGCTGGAGGTCATGATCCGAGGAGGCCCGAACAGGACCACATCATCTGCAAACAGCAGAGAGGCGATCCCGAGACCCCCGAACCTGACGTTCTCCGCCCCCAGGCTGCGCCTAGATATCCTGTCCATGAAAGTCACGAACAGGACCGGTGACAAAGGGCAGCCCTGGCGGAGGCACCCACCGGGAACGTGTCTGACTTATTGCCGAGAATGCGGACACAGCTCCTACTGCAGTCGTACAGAGACCGGATCGCCCGTTGTAACGGGTCCGGCACCCCATACTCCCGCAGCACCCCCCACAAGAACCCCCGAGGGACCCGGTCGAAAGCCTTCTCCAAGTCCACAAAGCACATGTAGACTGGTTGGGCAAACTCCCAGAACCCCTCCAGTAGTCTTGCGAGGGTAAAGAGCTGGTCCACTGTTCCACGGCCGGGACGGAATCCGCACTGCTCCTCTTGAATCTGAGGTTCGACAAGCGGTCGGAGCCTCCTTTCCAGCACTCTGGCATAAGCCTTCCCTGGGAGGCTGAGTAGTGTGATACCCCGGTAATTCGAGCACACTCTCCGGTCCTCCTTTTTGAAGATGGGAACCACCACCCTGGTCTGCCATTCCATGGGCACTGATCCCGACCCCCATGCGACATTGAAGAGGCATGTCAGTCAGGACAGCCCAACTATGTCCAGCGCTTTCAGCATCTCAGGGCGGATCTCATCCACCCCCGGCGCCTTGCTACCAAGGAGCTTTTTAACTACCTCAGCGACCTCTGCCAGGGATATGGGTGAGC